GGCAAACACCGGGGGGGGCGGCTTGTTTTACAACGTCGTTGCCAAGCGAGGCGTGGGGGGGAATTGGCTAAAAGAAATTCAAACCGGGACGTATCGCGCCACTCGCTCCGTCTCTTTTCGTTTGCTTTGTTCCCTCGCCGTCTCGTCCGTCTCCTGCCTCCCTACCGCCCCATTGGTTGTTGGCTTGTGGTTTCGTTTGAGCGCCGGTTGTCGGCTGGCCTCTTCTTCCTTCTCGTGCCAGGAGGTCATGAACCTCTCAGCTCCCTGAGCACCGCCGCATGCCAGGGCACTCCCCCCTCCACCTTCGCGGCTTCCGTCCACTTTAACTTCGGCGCCGTGTCTTTCGGTACCAGGATTCCGAGACAACATGGATCGGTTTTCGTAGATCCGTGGTCGGCCCCGAATGCCTTCAGGTCGTCGAGCACACATTTCGGCCAGTCCTGTTCCTGTCTCCCCCTACGTCGCGTTTCCCCCCCTGCCAGTTCGCAGAGCATCAGTCATTTCGGGAGTCGCCCGTCCGGTTGCGTTGCCAATGCTCCCGCGAACAGTACGCGTCGTTGTCGGATCGCGGTTTCAACGCTCTGGCATTCGACCCTCTTCAGCGTCTGGGCGTAAGAGAGCTGCCGGTAGGTGTCTTTCTTGCGCTTGTACCCGATAACTCGAAGGAGCAGTCGGTGGTGTATCGACCGCAGCGTCTGATAGGTATCGCCGAGTGGTGACCATGTCATGCAGCCGTACAGCGGATCTTGAGTCGGAGTGACGCTTTCGGTCTGTCGAAGAGCTCCCGGCCATATCGCCTGAGGCACGCCCACGCTCCTCTGCTCCTGTAGTTGATCTCCCGGGTGAGGTCGCCATGTTCGTTGACGAGGCCACCGAGGTACCGGAACTCGGTCGTCTGGGCGTATTTCTGTCCCGCGGCTTCGATGGTCAGCGGTGGAGGCGAGGGGGGCTGTGATGTTGTAGTCGGCTTGTCCTTCGCGCGCATCAGGAGCGTCTCCGTCTTCCTCTCCGACACCGTTAGCCCAAACTCCCCGAACACCTCAACGGTGATGGTCATCATTCTCGCCAGTCCTTCTGCAGACCTCGATACAACGCCGGCATCATCGGCATTCAGCATCCCCCATACTGCCCTCCGAACTCGGTCAAGGGGTGTCTCCTCCCCCCCCCCTGCTTCCGTCTTCCCCTCCTCCAAGCACACCAGGCTCCGCAGAACAATATCATCCTCGCTGAATCGGATGACGACGACCTCGAGGACCTCGGCGAAGAAGATGTTGAACAGCAGTGGGGATATCACACATCCGTGTCGCATGCCCTGTGTCACGTAAAACCAGCCAGAAGAAGTGGAGGATAGGGGCCAGAGGGGCAGACGACAGAGTCCAATGATGAGAGAAAAAAACAAATAGTACCTTAGAAATCCGCGATCCTGTCCTTTGGAAGTGTAGTCTAGACTATACATTGTAGCACCAGCAGTCCAAATTCGAAGGCAACCCGAGGAGGGGCCATGACGGCTGCAGAAGTAAGGGTTCTGCACTTACACTCAACCTTATCGCAACCACGGCTAGTACGCCGGTATGTAGGTGGACAGGGAATCGAATTTGGACCAGCACGCACGCACATTCGCTCGACGCTCACTCATCCTGGCACCCTTGGAACGGGTAGTAAAAAATTGGGTATGACACTACGGTCCAACCGCGATTTAGCCCCGACATTATGTACACTAACTACCCATGAAGCACGCAGGGGTCGGGGGGTAACACAGACCACAGAGCCAACATAAATCGAAGAATAATTCCTCTAGCAGAATTGAAAGAAATGTGTTTTGATGCAAGCAGAGTACTACGTACGGTACACTTTTCAGTGTACTTTTCGTACAACTACCAACCATCCAGGGTCATACAGGAGGGGGGCCCTTTTCTTCTTGATATATTTTTCGTGCCACACCTTCCTCCTGCAAGGTTTAGGGTTAAGGTCTTCCGAGCGGTTTCCCAGGGACTCGGCCCTGAGACCCGGCGTCGGGGACTACGACTTAAGGGCAGCCGAGGCCGGCGGCTGCGGCTCGTCGACGGCCGTCCCTCGGGCGCAAGCCCACGGGGACCCCATACGTCCCCGCGCTCAGCCGTTTCCTCTTCCACGACGACGGCCGCGTCACCCCCAGCACCCACGCCTACCGCCCAGAGTCCACCAGGGGAGGCGGCGGCCACCGTGGATTGGCCGGCCACGCGGCGGCGCCGCAGGCGTGGTCGTTCAAGGTCAAGCGGCCGGCTCCCAGACCCCCGGATGGCCCCGGGCTAGGCACGCGCAGGCCTGCTTACAACAACGAGACCGATCCCTGCTGCTCGTCTTCTCCAGCCGGGGTGAGGTTTGGGGCCGGACGCGAGGACATGTCCAGTAGTGTTTCGGGGGTCTCGTGGGTGGAGGCGGAGGAGAGGGCGGCGAGGGGGGAGGCGGGCGGCCGGAGTGCGAGGCTGTACCTCCCCGACAGGGACCGCATGGGCTCGAGAGCGTTCATGTGCTCGAGGTAGTTGCCCAGGCCGGGGACCCAAGGGCCTAGGTAGCAGATAGTCGTCCGTTTCATGATGTGTGTGTGTTCATTTTTAGCATCTAGTCGTTCGTTTTATGATGCGTTTGTATTTATTGTTCGCATCGACCGCGCTAACCGGTTGACCAATGAAAAAACGTCAGTCTTAGTGCGGTTGAAAACACAAAACACTCCGATCTATCTGCCATGAGCTGGGACCCCGTGAAGGGGCAGCATGGGGGTGGCTAAACTATCCTCCGGATCAAAGACAGAAACGGTATCAACAGGAGAAAACTACACGCGTCTACCAAGGCTGTTACCCTGCACTCGAGTTCGTTTTGGAGTGCTTTCACCACTATGTCTTTATTTGTTTTGCATCGACCAGCCCATTTTTATAAATAACAACATATTCGCCTGATTGAGAGCGTAGCATCTGATTCAGAGCGAGATTGCGCGATACGCTGTAGCCGGAAAACCACTGAGAGGTGGAGCTTGCTGTGTAGCTTGAATTGAAGGGCTAGCCCGTAGCTTCAAGCCGCTACCCTGGTCATCCTGTGGGAGTCTCTCGTTGTGGAGCTACAGCGGGGAGCAGAAGCTACAGCAGAGCCCACCGCCCGACGCGATACCGCCCTGAAACAGTTTGAGCAGAAATAGCCAATCTGGGCAAATCTAGCAACTTGTCTAGCTCCTCGCTGCAGCATCCGATGACGATGACACGCATATGCTCGCGAAGCTGCTGATGAGACCTTCAATTTGCACCGCATCTTGGAATAGCCCGTCCCCTACTTGCCAAGAAATGGCAAGAGGCGTCTGGACCCGAAATTTCAATTTTTTTGGCTCTCGCTCTCAATCAGATACTTCGCTCTCAATCAGGCGAATATGTTGTTAAATGTCGTCAGTCTCCAGCGAAGCCAGCACAGAATGAGTTGTGTGCTACAATAGGACCTTCCCCACTAAAAAAACATCCAATACGCGTTGGTTCTCCTTCACACGACTGCATTGTGTCGTATGATGTGTTGTTGTTTTGGATGCAGCAAGGTTGGGACGCACCTCTTGGCAAACGTCACCCGCACTATAGCAACAAACGTTGCTGCTGTATGTAGGGCTCACAACGACGAACGTAGACGTCACAGGCGGACCAGTCCAACACATCACGGCTGAACGACCATGTGGGTGAAATCACCCGTCATCCAAGGACCTTTGGTCGTCCCGGCTCAAGTTTGTTTTTTGCCAACAATTGATGTGTAGCTGAAAGCTGTGTGCGTCTTGCATCTCATCTAATCTGAACGTCATTGTTCCACGTCTGGGCATGTTTGGAAGCGGAAATCAGGGGTCATACAGAAGGACTCCGCACGGCAGCTTTTCGTGATGGGTAGAGCCAAATAGAACATGCTTGATGATGGCCTTGCAGTACGGTCACAGAAAGGACGATGAGCCTCGAAATGGGAGCGAGAGTTTGGCGCGGACATCTCTATGGTCCATGCACAACAATCTGAGATTCCCTCCCGTATCGGCATAACTTGATGTGTTCTTACAAATACCTTTGGCGCCGAAGCAAAAAAATGTACCAGGTAGAGCAGTAGCTACTCGCACGAAAACTTAGTGTTCCTCCAAAAGACATCAAATGCTTTAGTGGCGATTGGCGTGAGGAATCATTTGCCGCATTCTTCTTCGAAAACCTTACTACAGCGGGATCTAGCACATTGCGTCCTCAAACCAAAAACCAAAAAACACCCATCCAACCAAGGCCAAAACAAAACACACACTAGGCTAATCTATGCATAATATCGGCGTGAAAACTTCTGAAATCTGATATTTGTGAATGTAGTCAATTAAACAAAGCAAAGTCTTTCGCTTCGAGCAATGGACAACAGACTTGCGGGAAAAATGGGAACGTACCCAAAAATGAGAATGGGCGTTTGTTTTTAGAAAGCAAACCACGCCTTTGCAACTCCCCCCATAAAAGTTGACAGTGCTGTAGGTCTTTACAGCAGCTTTCGAATGAGCTGTTGCTCAAGCTGTATGTCCTCGGCATCGCCGAGGTAGCCAGCATCGCGAAAAATCAGGTCGAAACCAGCACGAATCGCTTTTTGCGCCCGTGAGAAGGCGTGATGTGGAGCATGGCGGTTCTGATGAGCTCATCTCACAGCTCGGGCGAAGGGGTTTCGCAGGATAATTTTGGTTCTGTGATACACCCGATGGTTATGAAGAAAAACGCCAATTCTCATTTTTGGGTACGTTCCCATTTTTCCCGCAAGTCTGTTGGACCTCCATCATAACAAATAGCCCTCCGTTATTGGCTGCAATGCCGACTGCACCGACGCGACCGCCACGTGAAAAAAGGAAACATCGATTAAGAAAAAAGCATTGAAAGTACACATTAAATATAAGACGCTCCCTTTTGTTTTGGTTGTGCCTACTGCACGCGCCCTCCCCCAAAATATCGCTCTGTTCGACATCAATATCAATCATTGAACGAAAAAACCGCTCTTCCTTCCAGACCCGGTGTCAATATATCTCGCATTGAGAACTTTAATATTATACGTCAACGGAAAAAAGCGAACTTTGTTACTACTTTAGCAATTTCCAACAGCTGTCTGTCCAAATCCGTTTATTATTTGTATTGTCGGATACGGCTCTACGCCGCCGACACAAACGGATGGAAGGAATCCGGGTTATCGCAGATCATAATTAACCCGGCTTTGTTTGGGAGACAGATAGATAGTCTAGATAGATGCGCCCGCCCGCGGAGACAGGGTGGTGTTGAACAGTACTCAATCCTTACTTTCAGATTTATTTCTTGCTCGTACCCCACAAGAAAGTGGGTGTACCTTTGTGCAGGTTTACTAGACAGTTGGTTATTTGCACGGACCACACTACTAATACTAATACCATCCTCATTGCGAGAGGGGCCTTTCCGATACTACTGCAAAGTATTCGGCTTCGCCGCGCGTTTCGGACAACAACGCTGAAATAGAAAACAGGGCTGATGAAGCAGAAACAAGAACAACATGCGCATATTCACCCGCACTGAGACTGGCGTCTTTTCATTGGTCAGCCGGTCAGCGCCGCCGATGCTTACAATAAACACACACACATGCCGCCATCTCACGGGGTTCCAGTTAATGGCATCTAGAAGCGTTTTGTGTTTTCAACCGCACTGAGACTGACGTCTTTCACTGGTTAGCCGGTTGACGCGGTCGATGCAAATAATAATAACACACTACGTGCGAAAACGGCAATATATCTTTCAGTCTTTTTGGAATGATTCGGCTCTGCGAAAGAGATCACTCAGTGAGGGAGGTAAGTGAAGACTTCTGAGGGTACTTCACTTTGCGATCAAGACTTTGGTCGGATGCATGTACATCGAACATTTGAAGTACTACTTACTACTGGAGTAGGCACTAACAAACTGACTCCGGGAGAAAAAAAAGGAAACAAAAGAAGAGTATTCTCTTGGAGACGTGAACAGGCGGTCTTTGAATACTTAACATCCCGTTTTCCCCACTCCTGTACTACAGTTCCGCAGTAACTACGGGTGCAATGGAGACAACATTTTTGCCTACAAACATGAAAAGCTTTGAGTTTGCGGCAAAACATGTGTGTGCGTGTGTGCTATCAAATAGACCACTCGTCTCCACCGAGTGATGGTGGTGTGCTTGGTTGCGAAAGCTGGGTGGTCGTCGGGTTGGACGTCTAAGTCTTGTACGCAGCACCGATTGATGGCGTTTGTATCCATAGACTATAGTCTAAAAAAAGGAATGTATGCAATATACACCCCCGCCGCCATCACCCCAAAGTACAGGTTACCCTCTCCGGGTACCAGTAGGAACTCCCCGGCCTCAGGTTTCCAGTTGTGGGAGGGGAGGGGAATGGGGAATCCCTCGTGATCGACTTTGAGGTGGACTTTCCGTCGAGGTTGCGGGAGGCTCACCTCGCGGCTCTTCGGGTCGTGCTAACGGAGGAAGAGATCGCCCTCCTGGAGGACGTTCTGAAGCTCATGTCGACGAGAAAGGTGCGTGGGAGGTGTTGGCGCTGAAGACGGCAAGGCGCAAGGGCGTGATAGGTTGTGGTGCTCTCCCTGTCGTAGGAAGTGGAGGTTCTTACCAAGGGAGGTGTCTCTGAAGTTCGTGATGGTGAGCGAGTTTCCGTTCTGGCAGTGGTACACCTGTAGCACTGCTTAGCAGGAGGACGAGAAGGAGGACGACAAGATGCTAATGCGGTGTTCGGAGCTTCAGATTGAACGGCGACAGACAGACAGACAGACAGACTGACTGACTAACTGACTGACTGACACTTCGTTTTTACCGTTCTTTGAATTATCTGGAGACCGTGACGGTCTCGTAGAGGAAAAAAGGACCAACTCGAACGTATCTGGAGGGGGGCAAGAACAGTGGTCCTTGGAGTCGCAATTCGCCGGTTTGGCGGTGCTTTCAGTGCGCATAACAGCGTGTACGGGCGGTGCTAGGCGATATGTCGTTGGGCTTCGGACAAATTTAATATCTTCAGTCCTGGACAACAACCGAAAATGCTTAGCAGCCAAGTCCACCCCCCATGCGCAGATCTATGTGTGGTCGCTAGACGCTACTCGCACTGGCAAGCGTCCTCGTGGTATTGAGCAGAACGTTGGAGCTCTTTGTGGAGCCCAATCGAGCACCACCAACAACTCGACCAGTAAGTGTTGTCGTATCACGTGAACCCGCCACAACCCACCACCTCCCGTGCAGAGCAAAGCCCGGCCGCCCATGGAGCCTCTAGAGTATCTTTACACACGGACTTGCAGCAGTGACAACGACGACGATACATTCTTGATCTGATATGGTGGGCCCGACCGCAGCTCAACGGCAACGACGGTGGTGACTACGAGTCTTACGAGGAATTCCACTGATCGTTCGAAGAGGTCTCTGGGGTGCACCTTGCTAGATGGTCGTCGGTCTCGTACACGCACGGGACGCAAAATAAGGAGAGTAACACGATCGCGGTAGCGATGCGACGAGACGGCCGCTTCTGTGCGACCGTTTCCCGAACGTCCGGAGTGTACACAGCTCGTTCTCAGGCACAAATGGTTGCTTCGACACAGCGAGCTCGGCCTTGTTTGTGCGAGAAGGGGTTTTTGGTATCGCAGCTTGCCTCAGGCAACCGTGCTGGTCCTCCAAGAGATTTTCGTTCATGTATAGTCTATAGGTCGTTTAGAGTGCAGTGAAGAGATGAAGATTCGCTAGCCTAAAAGCAGTGTGATCAATCTTGTTGCATCCTTAGGACGACAGTCAGGGCAAGAAAAAAGCGTTAAGTATATGTATATGTAGTTTGGATGGACAACGCCTAATGCTCAGTCTGACGTAGTCTAGAGGGATCAGAGGAGGATATGATTTTCCGTGCTGCGAGCAAAACAACGCGAATTGGGTTTTTACGGATTTATTTGGAGAACAGATGTGACAGTCCGCATGCCTTGGACTGGGGAAACGCGTGTTTTCCATGTCGTCGCACGTTTCCAGTGCAAGGCTGTCCACACACGACACCCACACTACGCCCACACACGTAGTTTGGGCTTGCTGGCCGTGAGGTGGGTACCATGGTGGTGCACTGTGGAATGAAAGATCGCCCCGGATCGCGGATGAACGCGGATGAACATTTCGTCGTCGTATCATGCCGAATTTCGTTCATGCGGTCAACATGGTCTAGACTGCAGACTTGCTTTGGACCGTCTGCTTGAGACCGTTACAAGCACAGCCATGTCTTCAATGCACACCCGCTGGCCAATTGGCATGAACACGTGTCCTGCGGCGAGGTGGATATAGGATACGGTATTGTCACGGTTCCGTTTTCGGTGTTGTGGTGTTGTGGTAGGGGATATCCCTCGGGCGTTTTGTGTTTGAGTTTGGGGAAAGAATGAGAGGCAGAAACTGCTGTAAGACTGGAACACTTTGTGCCAGACAAACTCCCAATCAATCAAAACCACCCCTTTGGAAGAGACAAAAAAATCTGTGAGACTGAAACACTCTGTGCCAGCCAAACAATTCCAGGGCCGTCTGCTCTTATCCACGGTGCTCACCTTTGTTTCTATACCCTATCGCTCAAAACTCACCAACTTGTTCCGCTCCAACACGACGATAAAACTGGCCAGTCCTTGGTCGCACAACGGGACCGGTTGGCGATGCTCATGCTCAGAAACACCACAGTCTGGGTGATTACCGCACGCCATGGTGTATGGTCGAACACCGCTGGCACGACCGACAGTCAACCTCAATCGGTGGTCCCGCAGTCAACCTCAATCGGTGGTGGTCCCGCACAGCATGCTGGCCAGTTTCATCATGTTGGCGCAGACCAAATTGGTGACTTTTGAGCGATAGGGTATGTATACAGAAACAGAGGTGAGCACCATGGACAAGAGCAGATCCTGGAATTGTTTGGCTGGCACAAAGTGTTTCAGTCTTACAATATACTCTGTCTCTTCCAGCGGTGGTCTTGATTGATTGGGAGTTTGGCTGGCACAATGTGTTTCAGTCTTACAGCAGTGTCTGTTTCTCATTCTTTCCACAAACTCAAACAACAAACACCCGGGGGGGTATCCAAACAACCCCCCCACCACACCACACACCACCACACACCACCACACCACCAAAACCGGAAAAACTGGAACCGCGACATTGCCATATCCAATAGGCTATGTATCCACCCTCCCGCACGACACGTACGCGTCCATGCACATACCTACATACGTTGTTGGCCAATTGGCCAGCGGGTGTGGGTTGAAGACATGGCGGTGCTATAACGGTCCTATACAGTAGTCCATGTCGACAGCACGAAAGAAGTTCGGCACGACCCACGATCCATGATCCGACGACGGCGGGCAAATATCAATGTTCCTTCCTCCATGTTCATCCGCGATCCGGGGCGATGATTCATTCCACCGTACACCAACATGGCGTCCACCTCACTGCAAGCCAAACCTGCGTGTCTGGTGTGTGGTCACTTGTCTGACGACATGCCAGTGTGGTGGCGGTCTCAAACAACATACCCTCAGCAACAACAGGGGTGGGCGGAACCACGGATCGGATGGATCCGACGAGTAACCGCTTCATTCTACAGCCGACCAGCGACCAGCGGACCATATGGCGCAGGTGCAGGTGGACATGGCATACCAAGGCATGTTTCGTACAACCGGACCATTTGGCGATGCTCATGCTCAGAAACACCACAGTCTGGATGATTGCCGCACACCATGGCACATTGTATTATAATTATTTTGTTTGCCCTCCGACAATTGCAGATAAATGCAGACATACATAAAAAGTCGATCGTAAAGACCGTCATGCCAAGCCAAATTAACTCGATGCCAATAGCTAGGAATGTTTGCCTCTAAGTCAACAAAACTTTGTTTGAAACACTACAGCTGAACTCTAGGCACGAACCTTAGATGGAGAAAAACGAACAAAACCACAACCTCATCCACCCGAAATCAAACAAAACTCGGCCCCGTCTTCCCTGGTACCCTGACACCGTATCGAACAGAAATCCGCTTTCCACCGAAGTGGTTAGGTTAAAGCTGTCGCACGCATATTTCGGCGCGCAAAAGTCTGTGCGGCATTGCTGATCGATACTGCCACCGGTCACACCAAGAGAGAAACATCCGCCGTCTTGCTCTTTCTGAGGCACCCCCCACTCAAGCCCATGTTCCCCCAGACCCCGGACACTGCCACCCCGTGTTCCTACTTCCTTGCCACCTGCAACCACAATTGTATGGTCGAACACCGCTGGCACGACCGGCAGTCGACCTCAATCGGTGGTCCCGCAGTCAACCTCAATCGGTGGTGGTCCCGCACAGCATGCTGGCCAGTTTCATCATGTTGGCGCAGATCAAATTGGTGACTTTTGAGCGATAGGGTATGTATACAGAAACAGAGGTGAGCACCATGGACAAGAGCAGATCCTGGGATTGTTTGGCTGGCACAAAGTGTTTCAGTCTTACAATATACTCTGTCTCTTCCAGCGGTGGTCTTGATTGATTGGGAGTTTGGCTGGCACAATGTGTTTCAGTCTTACAGCAGTGTCTGTTTCTCATTCTTTCCACAAACTCTAGGCCTGCCCTCCATCGGCCGTTTTATTTTCGATTTAGATACACAAACTTTATTTCTATGCTAATTTCAAGTAATTCCACCTTCTTATTCTCCGTCATACAAGCAAAACGGCCGATGGAGGACAGGCCTAACAAACTCCAACAAAAAACACCCGGGGGGTATCCAAACAAGCCCCCCACCCCCACCACACCACACCACACCACACCACACCACACCACACCACACCACCAAAACCGGAAAAACTGGAACGGCGACATTGCCATATCCAATAGGCTATCTATCACCCTCCCGCACGACACGTGTCCATTGTCAGATATAAAAATCTCAACTAATGATGGTAGGTTTTCATCAGCACGCACACTAGCAAGGAAACTTCTGAAAGCACCCCCAGCGTCTGCTATATTTCTCAGGAAATACAGCCATGTACGTCTAGTGAAGTCATACTTCACTATCATGGGGTAATGTTTACCCCCTACGGACGCAATGTCCTTCCGTCCTCCCAGGTCAACAAAAACTCTGCCCAACTTTTTGTCTTATCTACGTTTAGTTTCACGAGCAATTCCTTTCCTGAACGCCTTCGACATCGAACATCCCGTACACGCATGAATTTCAAACGTCTACTCAATAGCCGGCCGCTTTGCAGTTGCACGAAGCAATTCCTCATGTGGATGACCATAGTCTAAACGCTATGAAACTCGTTCACATCCATCCATCTTCGTTGCTTTGGGATCTAGAGGGGTGAAGGCAGCTAACACCGAACCAATAGATTCATCACCCAGATGATACACAGTAGCAACAGCCATGCGATGGAAGTTCTGAAAAAATGTCTGTTCCGTCGAAAGTAGCCATCATACCATCAAGACCACCGAGGCTTTTTCATAACTTGCCATCAAACACTGCTGGGAGAACAGAGGTTGCAAAAACCTTCTCCAACTCTACTGAACACTCGCTGTCAGCAATCACAAACAGTTACTCCAGGGTTCCAGACAGTGCTACTGCACAAGTCGCACCATCAATCCCTCATGCATTCTTATAGCAAGACTTCACATCCTTAATGCTAGAGAGTCTGTCATGTGGAAAGCAGTAACCGTGTCCGCTACGCCATTCTTCGAACATCTGCCCTTCCTCACAAGAATAAGAGTATTTGCGAACAGCGTCATCACTTGACAAGCACTCCAGCAGCATAACTTCGTAATACGCTACCAGCCACGTGAGATCATGGGAGTAGTTCAATCTGGTGTGAGAAAATAGCACCATGTCAGACTTCTCACTGTTCTTTTTTCTGCCTGGCGCAGCACATCCACACTGAATCCTTGCTGTTCCGAGGGGGTCAAGTCAAATTCAAAACTTGCAATCGGAATCTCATGCGTAGACACACACAACGCTTCAAACTATTATTGTGGAGGGCACCCAGCCGAAAATGTTTTGACCACAACGGATACGAGACAACATCAGTCCCGTCGAAAACAGGAGCTTTGGGAACATTAAAAGGGCTCCTACCCAACTTCTCTCCTGTGTCTGAAATGCCGGCCCCACGGATCAGTGTGTTTCCGCTGGCGGCATGTCCCCACCACTCACTCGATGGAGTAGACGGGGGCGAAATGAAAGACTGTCTACCTGGTGCCCCACTCCCAATTCCGATCGAACCAAAGTTTGCAGCACCAACAGAGGAACGATTTACTGCTGTTGCCGCGGCCCGGCGCTCCTCCCCCGCTGCTACCGTCGCTCGTGAGGAGAGCATGCTCCGCCCTACGCTGGCCCTTCGAGGCCTTCCTCCCCTCCGGGAGGCTCGCGTGCACCGTGCTTACGATCCTGACGATCTCGGCCCTATCCAGCGCCGTTGCTGTCTCCAACAGGAACATCGCTTGTTGGTAATCGGGTGGGAGGGAACCAACGAAGCGGGCGAGAACGAAGGGTTGTTCAGCATTGAGCTCCTTTTCGCGCAGGCGGGCGTACAGCAGCTCGAGAGAGTACAGGTGCTCGATGGGGTTACTGTTGCTGTGTGTGGGGATTGCAAAGTCGAACATCTTCGGCATCAAGGTCTGTTTTGACCCCTGTGACTCCGGGCCGTAGACCTTTTCCAATTCCGCAAGGACCTCTTTCGCTGACGTACAGTTGCTGACGATTGCTTTGTCAGCTTCTTTTACCACAGCAGTAGTGATAAAGTGGAACGCCTGAAGCCCTCGTTGGACTTGTGCTCTCGTGTACCCCCTACGGAGCAGTTCGGAAGTCGGCAAGTTTGGGTCGCCCACGGGGATACTGCTCTCTGCATCTCCTAT